CAAGGAGACGCGGGTGGCGGGACCGCCGAGACGCGCCCCGGTCCCGCCCGCATCCTCCGCGGCTTTGCTCCACGTCTTCCCGGTCTGCTGGGGGGGCTTCCCCCCCAGCAGACCAGGGAGACGCGGAGCAGCTTTTCTCGCGCCGGAGGACGCGGGCGGCGGGACCGCGGCGCATTTGGGCGTCCCGCTGCTCCCATCCTCCAGGGCGAGAAAAGCCGTAAGTCGGGGACTGCCTGTATTAAGTGTTTCCACACTGCAGAAAGGCATAATATACTCAAGATGATGTAAAACTAAAACAAGGCATTCTTAAAAGGCCAATGTGTTGGTTTTACATTGTTGTTAAATATTCTTCCTAAGATTGCGCCCAAGATGTCTTGGATGCTTTCCTAGATGAATATAACATATTCAAAGCCTGCTGCAATTTCAGCCCATTGCTTCTTGTCCTATCAGAAGTTAAGGAGAATAATTTTTCACTCTCCTCCTTGTAAGAGCCTTTAGATACTTGAAAGCTGCTATGTCTCCTGTCTGTAGGGTTGCCAAGTGTCTGGTTTTGAACCAGAGAGTCCAGGATTTGAGCTTTGTTTAGGAAACAAATTGAGAAAATATAAATGTCTGGTATTTTCTAAATAAGATGTAACGTAATATCAAGTGTGTCCGGTATTTTTCTTGAAACCATCTGTCTGCTCTTTTCCAGACTAACCAAACCCCGTTCTTTCAGTCTTCCCTCACAGGTCATGTTTTCTAGACCTTTAATTATTGTTGTTGCTCTTCTCTGGACCGTCTAATTTCTCCACATCTTTCATGAAACGTGGTGCCTAGAACTAGACACAATGCTCCTGCTGAGGACTAATCAGCACAGAGTAGAGTGGCAGACTGACTTCTCATGTCTTGTTTACAACACTCCTGTTAATGCATACCAGAATCGTGTTGGGTTTTTTGGGTTTTCTTGGGGGGTTTTTTGGTAGCGTGTGGTGTTTTAGATGCTGCTTGTAATTATTAGAACTGGGAGCACTGGCTGTTGGGTGTCTGGAAGTACAGGAAACAGGAAGGAGGGGGAAGAAGATTAGCCAGTGCTGAGTGAGAGCTACAGAGGGGTGCAGCAGCTTTGTAAAGAGATTTCACTTTCGGTAAATAAAGCCCTGTTGAAGTTTGTTAGCACCTTGCTTGCAGGATACAACATTTTTGGCGACGAGGGTGGGATCTTCTGCCTCTGAACCCACCTGCATCCTTTCTGCCAAGCCCAGGCAGGCCTTCAATTGCTTTTACTGCCTGGATTCAGATGTTTGAGACTTACCTGCTTGCAATCAGTGCTACAGAAATTTCTGAAGTAAGAAAACATGCTCTGCTAACCACTGCCTTGGAGCAGAAGGGCAGTGTATATTTTACACTTTTCCCCCTTGCAGATGATAAATATGAGACTGCACCACACTGCATTAAAGAACTTTGTGCCAAAAGTGAATGTAGTAGCTAATCGCTACAGATTTCGGCAGCTTGAGCAGAAACCACGGGAGACTATACAGGAAGTCCCCAGGTTACATACAAAATTGGGACTGTAGGTTTGTTCTTAAATTGAATTTGTATGCAAGTTGGAACTGGTATGCTAAGTTGAATTTGGATGTAAGTCAGCCTCGGCACAGGGAGTTTTTTAAAGTGGCCCCGGCAGCGCTTCACATCCCCTTCCCCCGCCCCCCCTTGGCCGGTCTCTGGGGCTGGGGCCAAGCGTGCCCCGTGCGCCCCGACCGGCCGCTGCAGGGGCCGGAGGCCGCAGCCCAAGGCAGCTAGCGCC